GTTCTGAAAGTGATCGCAACCAGCTCCGTGCACAGCTTCGCTCCCCTGAGAGGCGCGCGCGCCTGCGGTCGCCGCTCAATCGGGGGATTTCGCGGTCTGGTGTTGACGCGCCAGACGGCGAGGTCCTCTCGGACACGCCCGACAGACTTGGGGTGCTCGCCGCCTTCTGGACGCCTGTCTTCCAAAGCAAGCCGTGGGGCGCTGTTGCTGCTGAACCGTGCCTCCGTCGCCAGCTCCTCCGCGCCGATGATCTCTTCATCTCCCTCCCCGTCTCGCGCTCTGCTTCGGCGTGCGATCCGATCGGCGCGCCGTTCTGCGCCAGGTCCAGACGCGCTTCTTTGCGCTGCTTGGGCTGCGGCTGACCTTGGGGTAGACGTGCTTGGGGGTCAGGGGTTTTACGCGAGTGCTAGCGACGCGACTCTGATCTTCCTGCCCAGAAGCGCAGCTGACGCTGAGCTCCGCGATTATACGTGCGCTCGGCCTTCCGAGAAAGTTTGGGCCTTGGCGCTCCGCAGCTGCGATCTCAAGCTCATCTCGACAACTGTGAATCAAGCGATTCGCCCCGCTCGGCCGGCCCTGGCCCCTGCCCGCCAGCGCGGCTTCGCCCTGGGGCGGGGCTGCGGGGCCAACAGGAGTTAGACGCATCCAGCACGGTCCCGTCGCTCGCCCCATCCTAGCTCGCGGGGCACTCTTGCGCTCTACTCCCTGGGCTTCGGCCAGGCCTTTCCGTCGCCGAATCAGGACGTCCTCCTCCTTCTCCCCCTCGGCCTCCTCGGCCTGCCCGACGCGCTCTTTGTCTCCGTTTCTTCCTTGTGCTCGTCGGTCGAGGGGCCCGCGGCCCGCCCGGGCCTCCTCCAGCGCATCTTCTGGATCCAGAGCGACATCGTCCAGGGGCGCGCCATCTGGTGCGTCATGCGATTTGGGCGCTGCGGCTTTCTTGATCGACTTGGCCTCGCGGGTCGAGGCCTCGGGGCGAGGCCTGGATCGGGCCTGCGCGGGCGACGTTTGGGGCGCTCCGAGAGCCGTCCAGGACCTCATTCACATGTAGCAGGTGAGTCAGCTGGCTTCCCTGATGGCCAACCTGATCCTCGAGGTTGCAAAATGCAAGCCCCCCCCCTCAGTGGCCCTCTCTCTGCGGGGCTAGCCCAGCGCGTTGCCGACGTCAATTCCGCGGAGATGCCCGACTAGAGCTCTTTCGAAATCGCGCCGAAGGGGCCCGTGGCCGCGCCCCGTCTTCGGGCACAATCTAGTGGCGCGGGCGCCGCGCCGGCCAGCCGATCTGCGATATTGCGCAGCGCACGTGCGTTCTCGAAGATCTCGCACGTGGAGCAGATTTGTTTTTTGTTGTGGGCCAGCTGCTACTCCCCAGCCCGAGTTTGCGGTGCTCGCGCAGGTTTTCCGCCAGTCGCTCGGGGCCTCCCCGCTCGACACCTGGTTCAAATTACTAGCGTCGGTCGGCCCGCGGCGCGCGCGTTGGGGCCGCCCTTGCGACCGCCGCCATCGCGCGCGCTGCGGCCCTGACTTGCCCGAGGTGGGCGGAGCGGCCTCAGCAGCCACGCCGGCGTCGATTTGCTCGCGACACCGGGGCCGCCTCTGACGTGCAAGCCTCGGGCAAGCCCTGCCCATCCTTCTGGCTCTCGCACGCCTTCGCGGAGGAACCCGCAGGCTGCCGCGGCTGGCCGCCCCCCGCCGGGGCCGCTCGCCGCCTCGGGGGCCCGAGCTGCTGCTGCTGCCGCCGGCGACGCGAGCCCCCCCCCCGCGCGCCCAGGGCGCCTTCGCCCACCGCGCGATGTTCGCTGCTGCGCGGGCTGCTGCCGGGGCGGCGTCGCCGACCGCTGCCGCCGTCGAGGCGCGACTCCGCAGGTTCGCGGACAGCTTCGCGCCCTGTATCTTCCCTCGCTCGACCCGGAGGCCCGTCGGGCGTTTTGTTGCGGCGCGGTCCCCATGTTCCCGGGCGCGAGCTGCTCCGCGGACGCGCGCTGGCGGCTGGGCGGCGTCGGCCCGCGTCAGATCTCCGCGTGGCCAGCGGCGCTGCCTCCTCGGATGCTCGGGTCAACTCTATTCCCTTCGCCGCCGTTCACGATGCCCCGTCCTGCATCGCGCCCTTGGGCGCGCACTCGGTAGACCGCCCCCGCTGGGCGGGCCCGCGCACCAAGGCATGCGGCAGCCGTCTTTCGACACCTTCGCGGCGATGGCCGCCGCGCGCCGCGTGCGCAGCGAGGCTCGCCTCTCGGGGGACTGGCCGATGGCGCCGCCGAGGGTCCACGGCCGCGCGCCAGCAGGTGCCCGATCGACGACGCTGGCCTCGCCGCTGGGAGCTGACGGCCGCGAGCGGGCTGCTCTGCAGCGGCGTGACTACCGCGCCGCTGCTTTGCCATCGTCGAGCTCCGCGTCCTCGTCGACGGGCTCGCCCGGGAGCTCGCCGAGGCTTTCGCCTGTTGCGTCGTCCGACTCCGACGTTGCCCCCGATGTCGTCGCGACCCCGCCCACCTCCCCGATAAACGCGTGGCGCGATGGAGTCTCTGATCGAGCGTGGAGGCGAGGAGTGTCTCTTTGCTGACACTTTAGCATCATCGACGCAGGCGATATCTCCTTCGCTCGCGACTGCCCGTGCCGCAGCTTGCCCCCTTCCCCGTCCATTCCTTCGCCCCTCAGCTCGGCCGGGCCGTCTGCCGCCGCCGCCGCTGCTCTTGCGTCCTCCGTCGTGGTTGCCGATCCTTCTAGCGAGCGCGGCGTCGACGAGAAGGGCAGGGGGCCGCGGGGTCTCGATCCGCGTTCGGTGATGATTTCTCCTTTCTTACGCTGTCAAGGGAGAAAAAATAACCGGGCCCGACAATTAGCGTTTACTGAACGGCCCTGGTCGTTTACCAAACGGCCTTGTCCTGTTTGATTTCTTTCTTTGGGCGCGCTTACTAAACGACTTCGCGCGCCGGGGTGGTCACTATGGGGGGGACTGTTTGACCTCTGCGCTGGGCCCCCCCGCCTCCCTCCAGGCAAGCAGGGGCGACCCGCGCATTCCGCCGCCTTGAAGAGAGACGCGCGCCACAAGAACGACAGCGGCCTGTGCGTCCCCTTCTACGACGCAGGCGCTTTGCTTGTGGTGGGGCCCATGGTCAGTGGTTTGGTCGGTGGGGGGGCCCTGGGCCCCGCCTCCTCCTCCGCCGCCTCCTCCTCCTCGCCGTCAGGCCAGGGTATTCTGAAAGTCCCTGCCACTGCGGCCAAGCGGTGCAGCCTGGGCGCCGCGTGGCACCTCCTGTATGAGGCGCACCGCCGATGATGATGCGGAGGCGGGTGCCCGCGGCTCACAGCGTCCAACCACCTTGGTTGCAATGCTACTAGCCGCGGTCGTGTGCCGTGTTATGAAGAGGTTCTGGCGCTGGGTACCGCTCCGTGTTGTCTTACTGGGTAGGCCCAGCATTTGACCAATCCCGCCCCTGGTCGGGCCTCCTCTCGCCCCGCCTGTCGGTTACGTGTAAGAGGCCGGGGGGTGACCTCACCCTGCGGGGCTGCGGTCGCTGGTCCAATGCTCGGGTCCTGCCCGTTGTTTTCCTATTTGTTGGCCCCCCCCCTAAGGCACGGCGTTTCCGGCGCTGTTGGGGGCTGGCCAATAATGGGAGGCCGGAGGACGGATTCAGCTTGTGCCTGCTTCCTCTTTTTACACGTGTGCCCCTTGCTAAGGGAAGCTATGATCGGCGCTACGTTTGCCCGTGCGGGCATGATCAACGTTCTTCCTTCACGGGCAGACGAAACAACTCCTCCTCCTCCTCTTCCTCCGCCGCCTCCTCCCCCCCCTCCGCCTCCTCCTCCTCCTCCTCCTGCTCCTCTTCCTCCTCCTCCTCCTCCTCCTGCTCCTCTTCCTCCTCCTCCTCCTCCTCCTCCTCCTGCCCCCCCCCCCCCCCCCCCCCTCTCCTCCTGCCCCCCCCCCCCCCCCCCCCCTCCTCCTCTTCCCGGGCCTCCCGAGGGGGGCTCTGGAGGCCGCGAGCGCCCCCTTGGTGTCCCGGGGGCGCCTTGGGCCTCAACTCGAAAACTGGACCATGCACGTTACCAGCGGCGAGCTCCTTGTCAATCCCGGGACTTTTTGAGGGTCGGCGACGACGTCGGGGCGGCGCGGCGCATGTTTTTTTTCCCGTTTCCCCAGGGAAACAACGAAACATGTATACACCGGGACCCCATATACACGAGGATCCGCTTTCTTGTGAGAGTTTCAGCGCAGGGCCGGACAAACGTTGATGTATAGAGTTCGGTTCTTTATTTAACGCCCGAAGTGTAGAATTGAGTCGGGCTTGTTCTTCTACGGGAGGAATATTCAAGAATAGTCGAGAAATAGGCTTGGGACGACATGTTGAGTATTTGTTTGATCACGGGATATCTGTTTACTATAAGTTTTGCTTGTCGTCCAAAATCCGCCTGTAGGGGGACATGCCCTACGTAGGTGTAGGACAAAGCCAAAGGGGATGAACAAGTCGGATTTCGGGACCGGGGCCGAGAGGTCCGAATGCGTGAGGTTTTCGCAGTCTTTTGCCAGGCGTCTTCCGCAGGCCTTGCGCGCGCTCCTGCCGTGGACATCCGGGTGCCTCGAAGGCGAGGCCTGGAGGTCTCGAGAGGTCCCCCGGATGCCTCCAGGGCTCCCAGAGCGTCTTCAAATCAAATCTGGCGGTGAGAAACCAAAACGCGGAGGGGCAGATTGGTAAAGGGACGTCGTCGTGGGAGAGGGTGAAGTAATATGCTCCGTGCTGAGTTATTTGCAGATGCGGCCAGACTGGCCCGCGCCACGACCAGAGCGTTTTTTTGCAACGGGGCGTGTGGAACATGTCGCGCTGATGGAGGACATGTGCTAAGGACGTCGTCGGGGGAGATGGGGGACTAGTCTTCGTAATTCGAGGGGGGAGACTGTTTTCTCCCTCTTCCTATTACTCCTCTTCCATACCTCCGTGTTCCCTCTTATCCCCTCCACGTGCCACCTCCAGACGGAGGGGGGGGGCGGCGTGGTCCCGACGCAGGCGATCGAGTCCCTGGCGGAGAAGATGGCTTGCGAGCTGGAGATGGTGAAGGGCCAGCTGAGAGGCTGACCGGCGGGCATGCGGCCACTCTGTGGGCTGCGGAGGAGAAGGGGGAGGCGGCCCATGCGGGCAGCATATAGGTTCGACGGTTACAGGCACCAGCGTGGGAAAACAGCAGCGACGCTGAGAATTCCGACTGCCGACGTCAGCCGAGGAGGAGTTCGGCGCGATCTGGAGCCACCTTGGGCCGCTCCAGATCGCACTCACGGGATCGAGAGGTTGCCTTCCCTTCCTCGGCGGGAGGCCGGAAGAACGGGCGCCTCCGCCGGCGGAATGCGGCCGGAAACTGGCGAAAATATAACATTTGCCGCCAAGACATGGCAACATTGTTGGGTTCAGGGTTTGGGATCCTGCCATTTGGGCCAGTTGCCGCACACGTGAGGTTGTCTGCGCGGACCTCGCACCGCAGTCCCCATTCCCGTCCAGTCCCATGTGCGGCCGTGCGTGTGTTGTGAGTAAATGGTGGAATTTTCGCTCTGTCTTGCCACTCCTCCTTTTAGCAGATGATGGGCGTGACAGCCACCCATTGGCATCCACGTTGCTCCCAAACACACACACACACACTCACACACACACACACACACACGCGCCCGCGCCCCGTCCAGTGTATGGGGGAGGTGATGGTGGAAGAGCAGGAGTATGTCAGATCATCATCCGTTTCCGCCTCCTCATCACCATCAGTCAGTTGTGGAATGAGTCATCGTTGCCATGATGATCGTCATCACGATCTTCACCACCATCGCCATAGTCGTAAGTGTCACCGTCATCCGCATTATCAGCAACGTCAATATCACCGTCTCATATCACTGACCCCATCTTCTCTCCCGCGTCCCGCTGCAATCATGTAGCTCAAGTACCGGACGATAGTCGCGGTGCTAGCCCATCTTGCGCTCGCTGCGCTGGCGCATCCACCCTTCCGCAGCAGAGCAGGACAGGACGGGAGACGGGGTAGGAGCAGACAGGACGCGGCAGGGCACTGCAGGACTGGATTGGCCATGATATTATAGGGGATGCGGGATCATGTGATCGGACATGGTCAGCTTGAAGGGCAGGATAGGGCGGGATGAGGTGGGACTTGACATCGTCGGTCTTCTTCGTTCCGCCATGCCTTTACGCGGGGGGCTGGGCGAAGGGGAAGCGGAAGAAGAGCAGACGAAGAAGGAGGAGGAAGATAATGGCGAAGGAAGAGGCAGGAGGAGGGAGGAGGGAGGAGGAGGAGGAGGAGGAGGAGGAGGAGGAGGAAGAGGAGGAGAAGGGGGAGGGAGAGGGGGAGGAGGAGGAGAGGACTGGAGGTCCCCAGGGGTCTCTGGAGGCCTCTAGAGGCCTCCTGGATGTTCAAGACAAGCATGGGTAGCAGATCCAGGCCGCCATGTATGAGTGCGGGGGGGAAGGAGGAGGAGGAGGAGCAGCAGGAGGAGGAGCAGGGGCAGGAGCAGCAGCAGCAGCAGCGCAGGCGCAGCGTCAGAAACAGCAGCGTAGAGTGATGAGGGAGGAGGAGGAGGAGGAGGAGGAGGAGGAGGAGGAGGAGGAGGAGGAGGAGGACCACGAGGGCCCCAGCGCTTCGCTCAGATCGGTCCACAGCTCGCAGATGAAAGGAAGAGGGCCAACGTACACCCAAGATGCATCAACGATGCTGCAATGCATCGTCCCATCCCCAGCTCCTCCTTCTCCTCCTCCTCCTCCTCCTCCTCCTCCTCCTCCTCCTCCTCCCTCCTCCTCCTCTCTTCCTGCTCCTCCTCCTCCTCCTCCTCCTCCTCCTCTGCCTACTCCTCCTCCTCCTCCTCATCATCATCATCATCCTTCTCAGACTCCTCCTTCATCTCCTCCTCCTCCTCCTCCTCCTCCTCCTCCTCAGACGTCCCTCCAGGCGTTCTTCTGCACTGCAGGAGGCGTCCCGTCGGAGCACCAGCGCTCTCTCTTGCTGCCTTGACGCGCGAGAGCCCTGTTGAGAAGGTCCTGCCTCGCATCTCCAGCACATGCACATCGCACGTAGTGCGAAAAGGTACGATCATAAAGCCCCCCCCAAGAACAACTCTTCAGCGATATCTTCGGCTGGACAGACGGACCATAACGCACCTGTGCAGCATTTGCGCAAGCTTGTAGTTATAGCCATGGGTTCCGAGAAAGTCTCAAGTCAGAGCCACCGTTGAAAAATAGCCGGTCTCCATCCATGCCGCTGTTACACATGTTCGAGTTCTTCATGCTTTTCTGAAGTGAAGAAGCCCAAAACAAACGCACAAGTTTTACACGGAGCGATCTTACATCCTTGTAGTTGTTGCGAGTTTGTAAGATGAATCCGAGCGTTTCTGAGGCGAGAGCCCCAGTTTGAAAAACGGCCCGTCTTCCATCTTTGAAGCTATTCGAATATCTCGAAACGAATACGCGCGGCGCAAAGGCAGGAACCTCATTTTGAAAATGACCCGCTTCCCCTCCTTCAAAGCTGATGCGTTTCTGAAGACGAACGATGGCGGCATGAGGGCAAGAGCTGCATGCTGATAACGGCCCGCCTTCCATCCTTCGAAGCCGAGTCAAGCTTGTGAGGCGACTGCGCGCGGCGCTAAGCCGAGAGGCCCGTTTTGAAAACGACCCGCCCTCCATCCTTGAAGCTCTTGAACTATACATTCAAGCTTAAGGATCTGACATGGCGTTGGACGTCTCAGGCACAACGCCCGGCCCGCACACGTTTGGGGGGCGGCAGGAAAGAGCCCTGTGTAAGGAACAAAGATGGGCGAGGAGGACGAGGAGGAGGGGGTGGGGGAGGGGATGGGAGAGAGGGCGGGATGGAGGGGAAGGGAGTGAGGGAGGCAGGGGGGGGAGGTAGAGCAGCAGCAGCGAGGGGAGAGAAGGGAGGAGGAGGAGGGAGGAGGAGGAGGAAGACGAGGTGGAGGAGGAGAAGGAGGAGGAGGACGACGCAGAGGAGGAGGAGGAAGAGGAGGAAGAGGAGAAGGGGAAGGGGAAGGGGAAGGGGAAGGGGAAGGGGAAGGGGAAGGGGAAGGGGAAGGGGAAGGGAAAGGGGAGGGAGGAGGGAGGGAGGAGGGGGATGGGTGGCGAGAGGGGAGGAGAGCGCCCCTCCCAGGCGCAGGCGGCCTGCCGCGTCCCTGGAAGGATGGTGTGCCTCCGGGAGGAGCCCGGCTGGCCTGGCCCTCGGGCCGGAGGGGGGCCGAGCCGCGGGCCCCCGACGGCTAGGCACGTTCGAGCCCCGCCCGCTGTGCGGGCTGTCGGCCACATCGCCGCAGCTGGCTCCGCGGCCTGGCTCGTGTCGCTCACGGCCCCCCGGGGGGGGCCCGGGTCGGGGGCGTCCAGGGGGGGGGGTGCGCGGGCGAGGGGCTTGCGGCCTCGGGGAGCCCCGTTCCCCCCGCTGTCCCCTCACGGCTGCGCCACCCCGGCTGCGTCGTTGTCGAGCCCGCGTGGGTGGATTTGGCGTCTCCCCGCCACGTGAGACGGGACGGTGCGCGCGCCTTTTTGAACCGTTCTACGCCGCGACACCGCGCGCGTGATCGCGACGTGAAAAAGAGAGTGTGTGTGTGTGTGTGTGTGTGTTCAAATGTAAGATGTACAACTGATGTGTCTACATATATATATATATATATATATGCGTATGATCATGATAGCGCCATGGGATGTTTCAGGATTCCATCGCCCCCTGCATAGTTTATGATTATTGCTTCTTCTCGTCCCGTGTCTTCTTCTCAATCGTTTTATAAGCCAGGTCAGTCTGTGTCTTGCTCTGCCAATGAATCCCCTGGCCCGCCCTCGCCCGCGCACGTGCCTCGGGCTCGGATGCGCTGCAGCCGCTCCTCCTGGCCCCGATCTTCGGCGCATCCGACCCCGCGGGCGGCCGCCGGATGCCGAATAGCTGTGAGGACAACGCTTGCTTCTGAACGTGAGTTGCCCGAGGCGCGAACGGAGGCTCCCCAGCCCCCCGACGTCGTGATTCTGTTCACAACGTCCACCCCCAGAAGTCTGGACCCCTTCCCTGGGATCGGATTTTCGTCCTGAGTGGTTTTTTGTGTGGTCCCGAGGGGGAGGAGGGGGACGAGGAGGAGGAGGAGGCGGAGGAGGAGGAGGAGGGGGACGAGGAGGAGGAGGAGGAGGAGGAGGAGGAGGAGGAGGAGGAGGAGGAGGAGGAGGGGGAGGAGGAGGAGGTGGAATTGGAGGATACGCAGGAGGAGGGGGAGAAGGATGGAGAGCAATTACAGCGAGATGGCTGGCAGCACGGCTGGCCAAGGCCCGCCGTCGACCCCCAGAGGCGGGCGTGGCTCCCGCCTCTGCGGCGGCGCGCCGCGGTGGGGCCGCCCGCGCCCGCCGTCGGTGCCCAGCGGCTCGTCCCCGCTGGCCTTAAGTCGGGCGTGCCCCTCGACAGGAGGAATATTTAAAAGTAGTCACCCAAAATGGTCTGGAGACGACTTTTCGGAGATTTTTTTGCATGTTTGAACATTATGTTTTTTGATTTTTCGCTCAACATCCGCCTGTACGGGGACATGCCCGACCGAACGCTGGCTCGGGGAGACGCAGGGCTCGAGTTCGCCAGAGCTGAGCTGGGGTTTGCGGATGCTTGTTTCTAGGCCTTTCGGATGGGGTCCGAGCAGATGGGGTCGGGGGCTCGCGCCGCATCGCCGGTGCATCGGCGACGCGGCTCGATGATGCGGCGCCCGCTTGTCTCCACGCCCACATCGCCAGCGCATCGCCGATGCATCGCCGAGACATCGGCGATGCGCTGGCGATGCGGCGCGGTCCTTCGACCCCATCTACTCGGACCCCATCTAGGCGGCCTCTATTGTTTTGTCGGGCGGGCGGTAGCGGGTGGGACCTCAACCGGGGCGGAATAAAAGGCCTAGTAGGGGCCCTTTCGGGCCCCTGGTGGAGCCAGCGGGGGCCCAAGAGGAGCCGTAAAGGGCCCCTTCAGGGCCCTTTGCTGCACCCCCCATGTAAGGTCACCCGCCATTACCACCCGCCCGATGTGGGCGAGCCCATCCTGAATGTTGACGGTCCAGTTTTCGTCGGATTTGTGCGGTGGGAGCTGGCGCCAGATTTCAGACTGGGTCTCGTCGTTTTCCGTATTCGGCCCCGTCAGGCCAGCCCGAGTCCCCCCAACACGAGTCTTACATCCCCGCTCCTTGGCAGTACTTGGCCTCCGAGGGCCCTTACCGGGCTCCAGGGCCAGTCCGGGGATGAAAAGGCTGTCCCGGAGAAGGGGTCCAGACCTCTGGGTTGGGCGTCGCATCACGGGAGGGCGATCAAGGGGGGGGGGCAGCGAGGGCTGCAGAAAAGGGTCCCTATAGAGCCCTTGTACCCGAGGAGTGCACCTTTCTCCCCCCACCGGCCTACAGTCGGGGCGCTGAAGAAGGAACCCTTTTCGTTGGGGAGAGGCTCGGTGTTCCTTAGTTGTTTTACACTGTGCCTTAGTTTTTCCGTTGGTTGTCGATGGGGAATCGAAGTTTGACTGAAGGAAACAAGGGGCCTCGTTTCTTATTAGGGTTCCTTGGGTCCACGCCCTGACTACACCGCCCCCTCCTCGATTCACGCCCAACTCGGGAGCCGCGACGCGAAAAGGTCACGGCTCCGGATGTCCCGGGAGGTCCTGGTAAAACAGAGCTAGGATCGGGATAAATCGCTCCAGAGCGTTCCGGAGCGCTCTCAGAGCGTTCCGGCACGCTCTGCAGCGGCCGCGGCGCCCAATACATCTTCCAAACCCGCCGATTCTCAGAGATTTTGAGGTATCCCCTCGTGCTCGCACTCCCGGGGCGCTTCCCGAGGGGGCCCACGGGGCGTCGAGCCGCCAGGGCGCCACCAGGGCCCCTTCGTCCCTCGCGCCGCCCCACCGATCCCCGACCTTCCAGGGTGTGGAAAGATAGCCCTCCAGACCCACAGTCTTCGGGGGCGGAAAAGAGGGGGGTGATGACTAGGGGGGGGGATATATGGCGTGGGCCATGATATTTCCCCAGATCTCATGGCGCCTCTTCTTATTTCATTACGTCCCTGGCCCCCCCGCTGGGCCACGCACATGCCGCCGGTCATGATTTGCACCCCCCCCTCTTGGACCCCCCCCTCTTGGCCGCTCCCGAAGTCTTCTCTCGACTGCCCAAAACCTCGACTTGGATTTGGATGCCGGCGTCCTGGTGCTAATCTTTAGCTCTCCTGGGAGGTCAGTGGACGTTGTCCCCCACTCGGGCGCGCCAGTCTCGGAGACCTTCCCACGCCGATTGGGGCCTGGTCGTGGCCGCTGAGTTCGAGAAGGAGGAGAAGACAGAGGAGGAGGAGGAGGAGGAGGAGGAGGAGGAGGAGGAGGAGGAGAGGAAGAGAGAGGAGGAGGAGGAGGAGGAGGAGGAGGAGGACGAGGAGGACGTGGAGGACGAGGAGGAGAAGGAGGAGGAAAAGGAGGAGGAAAAGGAGGAGGAGGAGGACGAGGAGGAGGAGGGAGGAGGACGAGGAGCGAGGAGGAGGAGGAGGAGGACGAGGACGAGGACGAGGAGGAGGAGGAGGAGGAGGAGGAGGAGGAGGAGGATGACAAGGAGGAAAAGGAGGAGGAGGAGGCAGGCGCGGGCGCGGGCGCCTCTGCCGATCGCGGCCAGGATCGGGTCCGAGCCGCTGGTGCCCTCTGTCGGGCCGGTCCTCGGCAGATCTGGGCACGGCGCCGGGCCGGGCGGCCTCCGAAGGAGGCCACCCCTGCCTCAAGCAGTGGCGAAGCGTCCTGGCGTGCCTATAGGCCTACCAAGCAATGTTCTAAGAACCTCTTGTGGCTCCCACGACATGTTCTTAGGACATTTCTGGCGGAGTCTGTCTTTGTTTTATCACATCGGGTTTCTGTGCTAAGAACCTTGCTTTTGTTCTTAAAACATTTCTGGGTTCCGAGAAGATGTCGTGGTAGGACTATAGGAATGCCAGGACGGCCGGTCCCTGCTCAAGAAGAAGGCCACCCCTCCTCTCAGGAGGCGCCGGCCTGGGTCGGCGGCGGGCGAGGGGGGGGAACCAAGAAGGAGAAGGCCCTCTCGGAAGCCCTGGCGCCTGCTGAGGAGCGTTGTGCGCCTTCGGGGCAGGCTCGTAGCAACTGCTCAGAAGGCCGGGGGGCTGCCGAGCCTGCCGCGAAGGCCCGCCCCTGCCCGCTTCCCCCCCCCGAGCCCGCCGTCAGCTGGGAGCGGCAGGCCACCCGCAGCCTGGCAGAAGTATGGTCCGCAGCCCCCCCCCCCGGGTGGCAGCCCCTCGGCTCCAGGACCCCTCGCGGGGGTCGTCGGCACGACCCCGGGCCTTCCAGGGAGGGCTTAGGAGCAGCACCGGGACGTCGGCGTCGAAATGATGGTCGGGGTCTCTTAGGCAGTCCAGACAGGTCTATAGGTCTGGAGGGCTTTGTGAAACACTCTGGAAGGTCAGGGATGGGCCCGCCCAGGGGGCAAGGAACACTGCACAGACCCCCTGGTTGTGGCTGCACCGTCGCCGCCCTCGCAAATCGTACATTCTGCACGCCGCCTGCGGTTGCAAGCTCAAAAATGCGCGCTGGCCTCGCCGAGTAGCCGAGTCGCCTCGTCGCCGCGATCTGGGCGAATATGCTACGGAGCGAGGCCAGGCGAGCGGAAACAACAGGACGCCGAATGTCGACATTCGACGACGTGACTTTTCGCATCGTGGCTGCCTAGGGCTCCCTGCTGGGAACTGGCTCTTCATTTCGAGCCCAAACTCCATCCGTCGTGTTTTTCCCACGGCTCGAGGATGCCACTGTCGCTGTAGTGCCCGTCTCCTGTCTCCACGCTACGGCCCCCTTTATGGAAAATAGTGCAACTTTTGCAGCTCGTGTCGAAGAATCATCTAGGGCGCTTCCCTGGTAAGTTTTCTGCCCAGGTCCGTTTCTGACGGGCCTGGGGCCCGAAAGCAAACCCCTGGAGGCCAAAAAACGACGAGAGGCCGAAGGCGACGAACACAAACAAGTCGATGATTACACTTGCACTACCTTTCCAGGGCAGTGTAGGGGAAACTCGTCGGCGGATGCCCGTGCACATACTTCGGTGGCATGTGCCTTGTCCTCCCTCGCATCCTCTCCCCGCGTCCCGCTGTGCCCAATTCGCTCCCCGCGAACCCCGCCCGTTGCCCGACCAGCGCCTGCACCTCCTCCGGCTCGCTATCGCCCGCGGGCGTGAAGAACAAAGTGTCTTGCCCTCGCCCCCCCCCCCTCCGGGACAGACAATCCAAAAACAACGGCCGCGGCGCTCGGCTCTCGGAGGGCCCGCCCCCTCCGCGCTGCAACCCCTCCGCTCGCGAGCACGCCTCTGGCGCGGAGTCGGCAGCTGATCCGGTCGCGGGGGGCGGGCGGATCAGCCTCGCGCAGGAGGGGGGCTACAGGAGGGGCGGGGGGGGGGCTACAGGAGGGGGGGGGGGCTACAGGAGGGGGGGGGGCTACAGGAGGGGGGGAGGGCGGAAGCCTTCTCAGAAGCACCCCTGCTACGTCGAGGGCGCGGGCGTTGCCTGTAGTAGGGCCGGCGCCTTCCAAGAGGCAGCCTCCTTCCAAGAAGCCGTCCCCCCCCCCCCCCCACCCGCGCTCTCCCGTGTGCGCCGCCGGGGGGGGGGGGGCGGGGGGGGGGGAGGGGGGCGTCGAGCTTCGGGTAGCTTTTTCGGTGGTTTTCATGGGCCCCCCTCCTGCAGCTGTCTGGCCTCGGGGTGCCCTGCGGCAGCCGCGCCTCGCCGAGGGCGCTCCCCGGGGGGTGCCCGGGAGCCGCGCGCGGCTGCCGGCGACCCGAGTCCCTGAGCCCGACGGTAGAGCGATCCCCGTGGTTGCCAAGGTTCGGGCAGATCGGCCGCCTGGCCTCTGCGGTGGCGGGCCGCGGCGTGAAGGAGGAGATGGAGTGCAAGGCCCGAGCCCCCCTCTTCCCCTCCTCCTCTTACTCCTTCTCTTCCTCCTACTCCTCCTCCTACTCCACCTCCTCCTACCCCTCCTCCTCCTCCTCCTCCTCCTCCTCCTTCTCCTCCTCCTCCTCCTCCTCCTCCTCCTCCTCCTCCTCTTCTTCCTCCTCTTTCTCCCCTTCCCGCCCTCCTTCCCCAACCTTCTGTCGCCACCTCCTCCGTCTCAATCATTTGCATTCACACCGTCGCCTCCCCGTCCTCCTCCTCCCCCTCAGTCTCCTCCTTCTCCCCCTCTCGGCACCGTCTTCCTCATCCTCCTCCACCTCACCCTGTTGCTTCAGTTCCGTTCCCGCTTTCTCTCGGTACATTGTGCCCCCGTCATCGCACACATGTTTCTTCATCACCATGATCACGATCACTATCAGCATTACTTACTTTCATCACCCGCATCCTCAGAGCTGGCATTCATACTCCACGTCAGTGGGCCCGAAGCGACCAACGACGGCGGCCGTGCCCCCACGACAGCGGCACCCTCTCTGGGCCAATCATCGCCAGAGCTGGCATTCGGGCACGCGGAACACCAGAGCTTGTTTGTCTCAACGAGCCTGAGGCGACCAGTCATCGAAGGAGAAGAAGGAGAATAAACGAATGCACAAGCACTAACTGTCGAAGTCTGGCGCGGATGTCTTGGATCTGCGCTGGGATCCCTCGCGGTGCCGCCCTTCTGCGTGCCAGGGAGAGGGGTCCAGCGCCGATCCAAGAAACCCGCGCCGAGCTCCGAAAGTTTCTGCTTACGCCGTCTTTCACTTGTCCAAGGCAGGGTGGGCTCGGAGAGGATAACCCTCGCTTCGACCTGGGAGTCCCTGACCGAAGCTCCGTCGTCCGTCCTCCGTCCCCGGCTTCCCTCCTGCGCCCCCGCCTTGTTAGCCTCCTCCTCCTCCTTCCCACATCCGCCCCGCCGTTGCTCTCTCCTCATCGTTCTATGATCTCCCAAGAGCTGCTGGAGCAGCGGCGGTTCATCGTCGGGGACAGCTGGCCCGCTCAGGACAGCTGGCGCCCTCCGCAGTGCCCAGGGCCCCGCCCCTCCGGGGCGCCACGGGGCCCTCGTTGGCGGGCGGGTCAGCGCCGTTCATGAGCGGGCAGGGCTTCGCCCGCTCCGCGCCGCGAGCTGCTGGCCGCGGCGGAGCCAGGCCAGCTCCTGGGAGGCGCTTGTGCTCCTGGGGCCCGCCCTCGAGCCCCAGGACGGTGGCAAATGTTCTAGGCCTCCCAGATGGGGCCGGAGTAGATGTAAGTCGGGCGTGTCCCTCTAGCTTCAAGAACACCCCAAAAAGAGTCTGGGGACGATGTTTGTCCAAAGTCCGCCTCCAGGTAGGGGGACACGCCCTACCTAATTCTAGGCCTCCTGGATGGGGTCGGAGTAGGTGGGGTCGAAAGATCGCGGCGCATCGCCGAGGCATCGCCGATGCGGCTCGATGTGGAGCCCGTGTTTCCCCCCGCCGACGTCGCGGATGCATCGCCGAGGCTGGCGGTGCACCGCCGATGCATCGCCGATACATCGCCGATGCATCACCGATGCATCGCCGATGCGGCAGGCGATGATAATACAGTCTGCGAAAAGAGTTGGAACAGGACGTGCGCACTTCCATAAGGCGGCATACGCGTGCACATCATACCCAAGGCAGCCCCATGCAGTCACACTGGGCGCTGCACGCGCGCCGGGCCGACGTGGGTTAAAAGGTCGCCTATGCGACGCTTGGCGCGACTGCGCGGAGGCCCCTCCATGCTCGAACCACCTTGAGACTCTTCGATTCTCATCTTAGCATTATGATGAGTGCATGTCATATTGGTTTCAACAACTCTTCATCAGTGATACACGTTGCAACAAGTGAGTCCCGACGGCGGTCTCGAACCATCTCGAGCTGTCTCAGAGGGTTTCAAAGTGCCCCGGAACCTTCGACGCCGAGCACATCCGCGAGTCCCATGCGGTCTCTAGATGCCACGCGACCTTCGGTGCAGAGCGCACCCACGCGTCTCACGCGGAATCAAGATGCCACGACCCCCCTGGCACCGAGCACATCCATTCCTCTCACTCGGACTCACAGTACGAAGCTGTCGGCGCCAAGCCCAGCAACGCGTTCTCGTCGACGTCGTCGTCGTCGTCGTCGTCGTCGCCAGTGACAAAGCGCGCTACGGCACGGCACTGCACTGCACGCTTGCGGCACATGTGTCGCTATCTGTGTCCACGAAGAGCTCTTCTCAATCCGAGTGCTACCACTAATACGATCGTGGGTCAGGAAAGCGCGCAAGCATGCCATACCGCAGGATTGCAGAAAATCAGCCTGCAGTAAGGTAGGATCCGGGACGGCGGAGGCAGACGGCTCCATTGGAACCCTGATGAAGACGCCGCAAAGAATGCGAGCCCGACGCGAGCGCAGAATCCATGTCCTAGGGTTTTTCTCGGACAGCCATGTTGATGATTGACACGAGGAGGGGGAGGAGGAGGAGGAGGAGGAGGAGGAGGAGGAGGAGGAGGAGGAGGAGGGCGAGGAGGAGGAAGAGTCGTTGCGAGGAGGGGGCGCAAATCATGGTAGTGCAGAGGTCGCGGACTGGAGGAGAGAGCGGAGACGGGCGCAGCGGGGAGGGCATGCGACGGGGAGGGGAGCGCGACGCCGCGCGCAGGCCGACCCCCTGGACGGCGTGCACTGGAAGTCTTTCGACCTCGCGGACGCCATGGAGGCTGGCCTCGCGGCGGAGATCACCACCAGCTTCACGGCGGCCCCTCCTCCTGGCAGGGGTGCTTCCCGCCTGGTGGTGGAGCGGTCCATTGACCGCATGCAGCACCTCCTGAGGGGAGAGAACGACGAGCCGCTGCTGCTGGCGATCTGCGACGAGCAGGACCCGCCGATCCGACGCAGAGCTCAGAGGGGAGAAACACGCGCACCGATGCCGATGCCCTCCTCCTCGTTTTGACTTTGGGGAGCCTTCTGGGTTGCCCTCGCCTTCACGGTTGGGTCAGGGTCTCGGGGAGCAGCGGGATCGGCACGTTGTTGTTGTTGTTGTTGTTGTTGTTGTTGTTGTTGTTGAACATTATTTATTCTAAAGAATAATTATTGTTGGGCCCCCTGGTGCGCGCCCCCCCTGCGCCGCCTAGGCCGCAGCTACATTTTCATCATTTTCGTGAGGAAGCCTCAGGTAAAACGATGTGATCCAGATCCGGTTGTTTTGTTGTAATCCGCTTTCCCTTGCAAAAAACACTATAAAATGACATTTCTTGTTCTAATATAATCAAATTTCAAGAATCCCTTGCAAAAAATAAGGTAAAGTGGACATTCGCGCGCGCAAGACGAAATCCTTCCAAAAGCTTAGTGTTCGGAGCGATTTTAACATAAAAACATCAAAAAACCAATGGTTTTTCAACAAAAAAATGTCAAAATCTCATCCCGCGCGCTCTTGCGGATTCGTAGGAAACCCAACACTTTTTAAACATTTCTGTCAAACGGGCTTTTGCGAGCAACTTTTTCGAACTTCTGCGACAACGGTTGCGCACCTGCCAGGGCCATCATCCCTGTCAAATAATACCATGCGGGACACATTCGTTTTTTCTTCGCGCGCGCACGCCGAAATCTCCAAAAACCATTGGGCTTCTTAAGAATTTTAGCACCGCGCATCATAAAATCACACGAATCGCACCGTAGGTCCTCGAAAAACACCTGCACGACTTTTCAAAATTTCCACCCGCGCGCGCTGTCCGAATCCTAAAAAAACCAATGGTTTTCCAACATTTATGTTACATGAGCTCGCGCGAGCTACTTTCGCACGCTCTTGCAACGGGGTTCGCGCGCCTGCCAGGGGCCATAATCCCTTGCGGTTGCGCCATAGGTTGCGCCCTCGGCCGCCGAGAATAAAACGCCCCCCTATTGGTTGCGCCATAGGTTGCGCCCTCGGCCGCCGAGAATAAAACGTCCCGGTACACGTGCCCATTGTTGGAACAGGGGTATAAGTCGTATACTAAGCTAGTTTCCACAAGATGTTACCACAAGAAGTCATTGTAACCATGCGCCAGTGTAGTAGCCAAGGTCGTCCGCAGGCCACGAAGTGAAGTGTCCGAACGTCATAGGGCGGGAAGCTGGGTGTGGGTGGTGGCGAAGAGTCGTTTGGAAACTTGGTAGAGCTTGAACCGGCCCCCCCACAAAGTGGGGGTATTGCCCGCCTCCTATGAAAACCCTGGCACTGGTGAGAACGGAGTGTCCCCAGTCTTAAATGATTGTTGTTGTTGTTGTTGTTGTTGTTGTTGTTGCCCCTTCCCCCCAAACGGAGTTGTGTGCCGTGGCCACGGTAGGGAGGCTGCGGGTCAGGCGGGAAGGCAACGCCAGATGCTTGCGAGAAGGGGACGCTGGCAGACGCCAGACTGTGGGGGGGGGGGGGGGGCAGAGGCAGGCGCGATGCGGTGGGAAGAGATCGTGACGCCAGAGGTGCGACAGCAAAGCGACGCCGAGGCGTTCTGCAGGGGGGGGCGCCTCCCACCTTCCGATCGGCGCACGGCAGGGGGTGGCGCGAGTGGTGGCCTTCCGAGAGGGCGGAGGGGGCTTGTCTTGGCATGGCTCGGACGTGCGCATTGTTTCTCAGCGAGGACCATCGAGAAGCAGCCTCTGCCATGTTGCGAAAAATTACACGCGCGAAGTCGAAACATGCGAGGGGAATGAGCGTCAGAACGATGGCGAGTTCTCAGCAAAGCAGGCTCAGAGGGGCCCCGGGGTGGGGCTCCCAAGACGGCTTCCCTCAGAATCCGCGAGGGCCTCGAAGCGCCCGCCGCCCGCATGCTTGCAGGTTCGCCGGCCGTGTTAGGCCGATGCCGGCCCCTTTCGGCGGAGGCGGTGCGCTGAATGGCGCCCTCCAGAGAAGGAAACGGTACCGATGCCATTACCCTTCCATTTTTTTCCCCTGTTTGGGCCTCCTGGGGGGCCCTCGTCGCCACCGCTGGATTCGCCTCGAAATCGTAATCAGCATCGCACCCTGGGAACGGTCTGGGGAGTAGCAGTGTCGGTACCGTTTGGTTTCTCCCCAGTCCTAGATGGTGGAGCCCTGTCGCCCTGCTCCGCCCCCCGCCCGTCTGCAGGTGGGCTTTGGAATCCCGGCCCCACCGCGGGTTATTAGGCACAGGCGGTGCGCGGAATGCCGTCCTAGGGGGTGGAGCCCCGCCGCCCGGGAAGCGATGCTGCGGAGGTGGCCGCTCGCTCGCCTCCCTGCCGCGCGCATCCGCGCTCGTGCCTCGCTGGAGTCCCCGCCGCCCGAGGCCCCGTTGCCTGGCCGATCGCCTGGCCATCTTCGGCTGCCGCCTGCGGCCCTCTGCTGCACTGGCTGCGGGCGGGCACCCCCGAGCTGCGTTTGCCTCTTCCTGCTCGCGCCTGCTCCTCCTCACTCTGGAACAGGAGGAGGAGGAGGAGGAGGAGGAGGAGGAGGAGGAGGAGGAGGACGAGGACGAGGACGAGGAGGACGAGGACGAGGACGAGGACGAGGACGAGGACGAGGACGAGGACGAGGACGAGGACGAGGAGGGAGAGGAGGGAGAGGATGAAGGGGAGGATGGGGAGGAGGAGGAGAAGGAGGAAGAGGAGGATGGGGAGGAGGAGGAGGAGGAGAAGGAGGAGGAAGAAGAGGAGGAGGAGGACGAGGAGGACAATGAAGAGGAGGAGGCGGAGGAGGAGGAGGAGAAAGAGGAGGAGGAGGAGCGCGCCGAAGCGAGCCTCGGCGCCGATGCTAGCTCAGCCGAGGGAGGAATGGGGCGGGGGGCATGGCGAGCTCTGGCAGGGGAACGGGGCCGGCCACTCCCGAGGTGTAGGAGGAGGAGGCAAAGGAGCAAGGGGAAGGAGGAGGAGAAGAGGAAGGAGGAGGAGGAGGGGCAGGAGGAGGAGGCAGGGAGAGGAGAAAAGGGAGAGGGAGGAGGTGGAGGAGGAGGAGAGGAGGAGGAGGAAGAGGAGGAGGAGGAGGAGGAGGAGAGGGAGGAGGAGGAGGAGGAGGAGGAGGAGGAGGAGGAGGAAAAAAAGGAGGAGGAGGAGGAGAAGAAGGAGTAAGAGGAGGAGGAGGAGCAGCAGCAGGAGGATGATGATGATGATGATGATGATGATGATGATGATGATGGTGGTGTGGTGGTGGTGGTGGTGATGGTGATGCTGATGATGATGATGATGATGATGATGATGATGATGATGATGATGATGATGATGATGATGATGATGATGATGATGATGATGATGATGATGATGATGATGATGATGATGATGATGATGATGATGATGATGATGATGATGATGATGATGATGATGATGATGATGATGATGATGATGATGATGATGATCAGGAGGAGGAGAAGGAGGAGGAGGAAGAGAAGGAGGAATGGAGGTACTGCGAGGGTAGGGAGGAGGAGGAGGAGGAGGAGGAGGAGGAGGAGGAGGAGGAGGAAGGAGTGCGAAGGGGACGGAGGGATGCAGAACTGGAGGAGTACGGGGAGGAAGAAGAGGTTGATGATGATCAGCAGGAGGTGGAGAAGGAATAGGAGGAGGAATGAAGGTAGTGAGAGGGCAAGGAGAAGGATGATGATGACGATGATGATGATGATGATGAGGAGGAGGATGAGGAGGAGGAGGAGGAGGAGGAGGAAGGTGTGCAAAGGGGAGGGAGGGAGGCAGAGCAGGAGGAGGAGAAGGAGGAGGAGCAGGAAGACATGGCGAGTATCGTTGAGTGCCGCCCCGTGTCACTGCGCCCCCAGAGGCTCCCGACTGGCCACAAGTGTTCGAACACCTGCTGGCAAAGTCACAATCTATATCTCCCATTAACCATCGATGATTGAGGGGAAAAGACGTCAGTCCCCCCCCACCCCACCCAGACATCGCGCGGCCAAGTTATTTCGAGGCGCTGGCCCCCCGGCCGGCCGTTCATGCCTGGTCGTTTTTTGTCCATGGCCCTGGGGCCCGACGACGGCAGCCGACTGCACAAAACGGCTGAACAAATGCCGCTCGGACTCTGTTCGAGTCGCGGGATGTATGTGTGTTCAAGCAGTGGCGAAGCGTCCTGGCTCGCCTATAGGCCCACCAAAGAATGTTCTAAGAACCTTTTGTGGTTTGCACGACATGCTCTCAGAACATGCCTGGCCGGGGCCGTCTTGCTTTGGTCCGTCGGGTTCATGTTCTGAGACCATTGTTTCTGTTACTGCAGCTTTTTCGGGTTCTGAGAACTTTGCGTGGTAGGCCTCTAGGAATGCCGGGACGGTCGATCCCTGCTCAGTGTGTGTTTGGGGTCCCGAAACGGTGCGGTGACGGGCCGTGCGGTGACCTCGAAATCCCCCATGTTGCACGACCTCACCGCACGGTCCGCCACCGCACCGTCCTGGGACCCTGGAGGCCCCCTGTCGCCCGAGGCGTCCCCGGAGAATGGCCCGAGGCCCCCAAAACCGTGCGGCGACCCCGAATCCCCACCGACTCGCCGCACGGTGTGGTCACCACCCCGTTCTGGGGGCCCCCGCGTGCGCCAGCCGCTGGGAGCTGTGCACCTGCACCTTCTCTCTCTCTCTCTCTCTCTCTCTTTCTCTCCCTCTTCATGGTCTGGGCATCGACCCTTCCTGCCTCCCCTCCCCCTCCTCCCCACCTCCTCCTCACCTCCTCCTCACCTCCTCCTTCCCTCCTCCTCCTCCTCCTCCTCCTCCTCCTCCTTTTTCTCCCCCTCCTCATCCTCCTGCTGCTTCTCCTCATTATCATCATCATCATCATCATCATCATCATCATCATCATCATCATCATCATCGTCATCGTCATCGTCATCGTCATCGTCATCGTCATCAGTATCGTAATCGTCATAATCATCATCATCATCATCATCATCATCATCATCATCATCATCATCACCACCACCACCACCACCACCACCACCATCATCATCATCATCATCATCACCATCATCCTCCTCATCATCATCAGCATCATCATCATTATCCTGCTCCTCCTCCTCCTTCTTCCCTCCTCTCTCCTCCCCCCCTCCCTCCCTCCGCCTTCGCTTCTCCTCCTCCCCTCCCCCCTCTAGTTTCTGTTCGGCTCTGCCCGCAGGACCCGTCGAGGATCCACTTCTACGTGCCGACGGGCGGCGACCCGCCCCTGGCCCTGGGCCCCGCCTTCACGCTCGCGGCCGAGGACGACGACCAGAGCTCCTGGACGCCGGGGCGGCCAGAGTCCCCTAAGGGGGCTCGACGGCTTTTGGCCAATCGGCTTGCGGGGATCGAGCCGGAGAAATCGAGGCAAGTGCAGACAAATCCAAGTATATCTATATATATATATATATATATATATGCCGAGACACCGAGGTCACTCCAGGCAAGTCCGGGGAAGGCCAGGCAAATCCGTCTCTGGGAGGGGGGTAAGCGGCAGGGCTCGTGTCGATTCCTCCGATTCGGTTCGGTTCGAGTCCGATGCCTTCCGATTCCGATTCCGATCCGACTTGGGCTTCCGATGCGGCTTCCGACTTCTCGCTGAGGCCTTGCTGCCCTGCCGACTTCTGCCGATCCGACTTCTCCCGACTCGGCTGCCGATCTCCGCCGATCCGATTCGTGTCGGTCGCAGATCTGGCTTCTCGATTCGATTCTGGGCTTCCCCTGTACACCCAAGACGCTGAAATAAGGAACAGTTTGGGTTCGGAGGGGGCTCGATGTTCCTCACGTCCTTCCGTGGTTGTTCCTCTAGCCCTTCTCGTGCACCCGGGCTTCTCTGAAGCCGCAGAGGGGCTTCGTTCCTTATTAAGCGTTCCTTACTTCAGCAGCCCGACTGTAAGCGGGGACCTCCATACGAGGCCACGGCATGGACGAAATTGGACCGGGCTGCTGATGACTGGCAGTTCTGCTCAGGATGTGTCGGGCGCCGCGGCCGTGCCAAAGCGCTCCAGGACGCTCCGAGAGCGTTCCCGAATGCTCCGGAGCGATTTGTCCTGGTCTCGGCCCAGCTTGGGACTTCCTCCGTGTAGCCAGATCTCCGATGCCCTGAGATTTTGCATGTTGGCGTTTTTCTTTGGTTTCGGCCTCTTGGGCCTGCTGTCGTGCCCAGGGGCCATCAACAACGGATCCGGGACGACTCCTCCTCCTGCTCATCCTCTTCCTCCTCCTCCTCCTCCTCCTCTTCCTCCTCCTCCTCCTCCTCCTCCTCCTCCTCCTTCTGTCCGGTACATTCGTACCTCTCATGGTAATCCCCTGGGTAATCCTCCTCCTTCTGTCCCCCCTCCGCGACCGACTCTCCACCTGAGCCGCTTGCGCAGGCGCTGTTGTCCACCGCGCGGCCTGCGGTAAACCTTCCCCCCCTCCCCCTCGAGCCCTGGGGAGAGAGACCATTCCCCTGGAGGCCCCTTCCTGGGCTTCCGCTGCTGGGCGGCCTCCGGGATGGATTCAGTGTGGGATTCGGTCAGGCATGCGGCCCCGCGTGGGTATGGACTCGGTGTGCGACGTGGCGCCGCCGGCCCGCTTGTGACACGTGGCCGCGCCGTTTGTTCGCCGCGGCCGCGAGGGCAGACTCCGCCTCGGGCGCAGGGCTCTGCCGTGGGTTTGCGCGGTGCCGTTTTCGTCTGCTCGGGCGCGGGGCGCAGGGATGGCCGAGGGTGTGCCGCAGTGCCGGCGTCGTCCACTGGGGCGCGTCGCGAACACATGGCGCGGCGACACATGCAATCCCCCCCCCCCTTGGGCTAGCGTGCGCCGGGGAAGCCCTGGCGAAGAGTCCTGGCTCGCCTATAGGCCCAGCAAAGGATGTTCTATGAACCTTTTGTGGTCTGGACTCCAGACGGAATGTTCCTAGAACATGTCTGGTCGAGACTGTCTTGTTCTAACGCATCGGGCTTGGGTTCTAAGAACATTGCTTCTGTTCTTAGAACATGTTCTGGGTTCTCAGAACATGTCGTGGCAGGCCTGTAGGGATGCCGGGACGGTCGGTCCCTGCTCGAAGACGGGGGGGGTCGCCTCGCCTGGCAGGGACATAGCGTGCCTTTCGGAGATCGGTGCTGCACGCTGCCGTCGGGAGCTTTTGCACCGCGCGCTGCTCCTCCGGCTGACCAGCACGCTGCCGCGCGCCGCGCTATCTTTAGGTCGGGCCTGTCCCCCTGCAGGGGGATTTTGGGCGGAAAAAAACAATAGCCAAATCATGCCCAACAAATGCTCCAAAAACTACGCACAAATAGTTCCCCGATGATTTTCTGATGACTATTTCTTCATACTCCTCCTGTAGAGGGGCAGGCCCGATGTAGCGCTGCTGCCCACACCGCGGCCCTCTCGGGCGTCGAAGGCTCGAAAGCTCTGCCGAGGAGCTCCCGCCCCCGCGGAGCGGCGAGCGGCACGCGCGCGCGCGGTGCACGCGCGAGGCACCCCGGCGCGTCGCCCGGGCCGCCGAGGCGACGCGCCGTCCGCAGGGTTGCGGCCCCCTTTCTGGCCAAGAATCATCGACGGCTACAAAGGGTGTGGTTACGCCGGGGTGTGGTTTGCGGTCGGCACCGTTGGGGCCGGGGGGGCACGGCACTGTCCTCGTGGGGCCTCCTCGGGGCGCGGGAGAACTCTATCGACGTCCCCGCGCGCCCCCTTAGGGTGCCCCTCAGTATGTTGCTCAGGGTGCCGGTTGCAAGCCACACCCTTTGCAAACCACACACCTTTTGGAGTCGCCGAGAGAGTGGAAGAATCCCTACCCATCGGTCGTTGAGAGGAGGTATTTTGGGAGTCCCAGATTCCGATCTACTTTGAGCGCCTTCCTGCATCAAGGATCGCGTGGCCTCACCGTTTCCGTGCTCCCGATGGGGCGGACGGAACCCACCCTGCTTTTAACGCCTTCCTACTTCATGCTTCTACCTACTTCTTCCGACCGATGGGTCACCCTGATCACATTGTGACGGCGTGGCGAGCAGCCGGGGGCGCTGAGGCTGAGGAGCGCAGCAGGTACGCACGCTAAGAAACCTGGACGCCCCGATACTCAGAGGAGGAAAAGGTACCTATACCGCTGCCCTTCCCTCTCCTTCGCCTATTCGGGCCTCCTGGGAGCCCTCGTCGCCAACGCCCGTAGACGCGCTAACGGTGTGTTAGCTAATGGCGAAGTAGGACAACCAATTGTAGTAAGGCGTGGTCCGTGGCCAAACCAACTGTAGGAACGCGTGGTTCGTGTTTTCCTACAACTCCCTGTGCCGGTTTCGTTCGATACATGTAGGAATGTGTGCCTCGTGATTTTCTACAATTTGTTCTGCGCGAGCTCGGTGCCACAAAAACCATTTTCCCAACATCGCCGCTCACCAAGCACGCCGTTAGTGCGGCCTTGGGACGCTGAATTCGCCTCGACATTTGAGTCAGAACGCACCTCGGGGGGAGTCCGGGGCGTGGCGGTCTCGGCACCTTCTGGTAGCCGCAAGCTCCTGGACGCCCCCGGGCCGTGACGGACCCTGAGGTCCTGACAGCGCCACTGTCGAGCCGGGCGTGTGCGCCCTCTTTCGGGTATAGCCAGGACCCCAGGTAAGGGGACCCGGTCAGTAGCAGGGCCCCAGAGCCTCGAAATTGGCCAGAATCACTGAACCAGGTCTGCCGAAGTTGTTTTTTTTTTCGGTTGACGGCAGTTCCAGTTAGTGGAACTGGGCGGGGGGGCGTCCCCCTAAAGCAGGTCCCGCTAAACCCAGTTCTGCCAACGCCCGACTGTTTTCCTGGCCCCAGGGACTTCACACAGGAGGACCGGTCGTGATTTCTCCCGTTGCTGCAATTTTTTGTGGCTGCGTCGGATCCCAGATGCGCAACGCGCAGCCCGTGCTATAGCAGACGTACGGACTTGTGCATCTTCTTCTCGGCGAGGACCGTCGAGGAGCATCCTGAATCATCTTACGGAAAACGAAGCGTACGAAGCCCAAACATGCACAAGGAGTGCACGTCAGAGCCCGTGCTTCGACTACAGTCAACCCGAATAGAAAGGATGGGCAACCGTCCCAAGAGTACCCTTGCATCCTTGCCTCCTCGGCCCATCCTTGGCCACTTTCGTTGGCCGCGCCCCGCTCGTTGCATCCTCATCGCGCATCCTTACTATACTGGTTGGCAGAACGCGTAAAGGTGACCCTTCGCCGGAATGGCCTGTGGCGCGGGCTCATCGGGCCCCCCCCCGATCCAAAAGCCGCGCACCAAAGGTCACTCGTACCCAAAATCCCTTAATAATATTCCCCCCTAAAAACCCGGATCCCCCTCCAAATGCGACCTAATATTCGGGACCCCCCCTATTCGACGGGGCGCCTTGATAAACCGGCCCCCCTGAGCTACAATCCAAAGAAAGCGCCCTAATTCTACGCCTCCTAGGTGGGGTCGGAGCAGATGGGACCGGGTCGGAGGGTCGCGTCGCATCGCCGATGCGTCGCCGATGCGGCTCGATGTGCAGCCCGGTTTGCGTCACGTCGACGTCGCCGATGCATCGCCAACGTCGACGAGGCATCGCCAGTGCATCGCCGATGCATCGCCGATGCATCGACGATGTATCGCCGGTGTATCGGCGATGCGGCGCGATCCTCCGACCCCATCTGCTCCGACCCCATCTAGGAGGCCTCTACTAATAAACTTGACCCCCCCAGTTACAAAAAAGGCGCCTGAAAACACCGGACCCGGGGGACGAGTCATGAGGGATTTGGAGTACCCCGGGTCGCTCTTGCGTCTCCCCGAGTGCCGTCTTGCCAGCGCCAGCCGCAGCAGGGGACGGCTCCCCCTCCCGCGCTCTGGGCGGGCCGAGGACGCTCACCACGGACCGCTGCGAGTGCTGCGAGTTCTTGCCCGCGCCGCGCGGGTGCTGCTCCCCGGGGGACAGGCGAGGCTGCAGGCTGGCCCGGGGGTGCCCGGTGGGGATGCCGAGGAGGGAGGAGGAATCAGGAATCAGAGTTCGCTCGACAATATCCGCAGCTCGAAGCTCGAATGGGGGAGGGGGAGGAGGGGGAGGAGGAGGAGGAGGAGGAGGAGGAGGAGGAGGAGGAGGAGGAGGAGAAGGAGGAGGAGAAGGAGGAGGAGGAGTAAGCGGAGGAGGAGGAGGAGAAGGAGGAGGAGGAGGAGGAAAAGGAAGCGGAGGAGGAGGAGGAGGAGGACGGAAGGTCGAGGGGGGAAGAAGGAGGATGAGGAGGAGTTGATCTCGACTGCGGAAGACTCACTTGTCACGTCATCATGGTTGGCTTGCTCTTCAGCCTGCCCGGAACTTCCCGGTGGCATTCCTCCCTAGTATCGTTTTCAACTGCTGCTAGCCATGGTGATTCAGCTCCCCGGACTCTGGAGCACTCCATTCTCTGCTTGCGCACGGCATGTGCAGCCACAGGAGGGAATGAGGATAAGTAAGAGGATGATGTTGCTGCTGATGATGCTGATGATGATGTTGTTGTTGAGAATGGTGATGATGGTGCTGATGACGTTGGTGAGGATGATGATGCTGATGCAGATGATGTTGATGATGATGATGATGATGATGATGATGATGATGATGATGGTGATGGTGATGGTGATGGTGATGCTGATGATGCTGATTATATTGATGATAATGACGATGATGATGGTGATGATGATGGTGATGATGGTGATGCTGATGATGATGATGCTGGTGACGATGATGACGATGCTGATGATGATGATCATGATGATGATGCTGGTGATTTTGATGATGCGGGCGACAATGATGATGGTGATGATGATGATGATGCTGATGCTGCTGCTGCTGCTGCTGCTGATGATGATGATGATGATGATGGTGATGGTGATGGTGATGGTGATGGTGATGGTGATGGTGATGGTGATGGTGATGGTGATGGTGAGGTTGATGATGACGAGGATGATGACGAGTATGATGATAATGATGCTGCTGCTGATGATGATGTTGAGGAGGAGGAGGAATTCTTCGCAACCGATGTGGCTCACGGATTGGAAAGGGGCGTGACGTAGACAAGATTGGAGAAGAGGAGAGACTTCCGCCTTGGCCGCAGATTCCTGTGTCGTCCGTCTCTTCCTCCTGGGGCCCCCAAGAGAGCTCGTGGGCTTCGCGGGCGCGCATGGCTGCCCGAACCCGCAACTTCGACGCGCGGCCGGCGGGCGGCCCTGGGAACCGGTGGTCGTGCGCAGCTTCTGTTGTCCGTGGGCGCCAGGGTTGCGTCGGGCACGTCCCTCTCGAGGAGGAATCTGCAAAACTAGCCCCCAAAAATATGATGGGGACGATTTTTCTAGTAGGTTTTTCAGGTTTCTACTAACCCCAGGAAGCATTTAAGACCCCCCCCCCCCCCTCCGGCAAATCGACAACCCTTCCGCACCCTGGAAGCGTTACCTGGCACCAGGAGCCCTCCTCCTCCTCCTCCTCATCCTCCTCCTCCTCCTCCTCTCCTCCACCCACGAACTTCCTCCTGCCCCCTCCTCCTCCTCCTCCTCCTCCTCCTCCTCCTCGAATTTCGATTGTAGTCCAGGGGCCAGGCCTCCGCGAATTTGTTGTGTGTCCGGGTGCTAAACCTATCGTGCGGTTATTTCGGCCCCTCGGAATATCGAATAAAAATGCGGTGCTAAGATGTCGCCGGGGGGTTTCTTAAATGTTTCCTGGGGTTATATTTTGTGGTTGTTCGAATATATTTTGTGAGACGGTTTTTCTAGTATATTTTCTCGTATATTTTGTGGTTTAAGGACATGCCCGATGTTTTGTATTTTTTCGAATTTTGTATTTTTCTAGGGGGGCGATGTTTCTAGCATATTGTTTGGTTTAAGGGCATGCCCGACCACACGCCAGGGCGCCGCCGCGCCGCTCCCGCCGGCGGGCCCCGGCTCTGCCCGCGCGGTGCGCTCGCCCGCTGCTTCCTCGGGCGGGCGGCTCGGCGCAGCGGGGGCCCATGCCGAAAGGAGCACCCCGCTCGCCTCCAGGGCGCTCATGGGCTTCTCTTGGGTTCCGATGGTTTTGCCCTGGAAGGCGTGCCGTTCCCACGCCAGCAATCGACGGACCTCCTGGGGTCTCCGGGTCGGGCTGTGTCTTGTGGGAGGTTTCCTGTGGACTGGGCTCCACGGTACGGGCGGCGCGCGCGCGCGTGTGCGCCCACGCTCGGCATGTGCCAGGACCCCGACCCCGCTTGCCGCCGCCCTGCTGCAGCTTGAACTCATCATGAAGTCGGGCATGTCCTCCTACACAGAAGGAGTACGCAACAACAGTCAAAAGATAGTCTGGGGAGGATTGCTGGACCAGTTTTGGCTATTTGTGATGCTTTCTGGACCATGTGTCGTTTGTCGTCCAAAATCCGCCTGTGGGAGAACATGCCCGACCTAAACTTCTCACTCGGTGATTGCCTCACCTCATTGCATTCCCTGGGCCTTGGCTGCCCCGATGGCGACGCGGGCCCCGGGCCCCGTGGCCAGGAGCTGCGTCGGTGGACCCCCAAAAATTCGGACCGGCCGGGCACGCAGAGCTACCGGCAAGCATATACACAGTCCGGCGCACAACGTTGGGGTACTGGATTGCGAAGGAGACGATACAGAAACAACGGCATCACAGTTGTTCGCGTCTGCATCACGTTCGCGTCGGCCCCGCCGCCGCGCGCATTCCTCGATGCAACGGGCGCCTGCGGCGCCAGGATGCGCTAGGGGGGTCAGTTGCGTGAGCTGATTCGCTGCTCCCCCCTTCTGCAGTCCCCTCGTTATCGCCCGACCCGGCCAGTGCGGTCGGAGCCGGACCCCGCGTCCATCGCCCGCGCAATCGCCAGCATCGCTGGCCTCCACGCCCAAGGGGGGAAGCCGGTCTCACTTGTGAGCTTCCGCTGTCGGCATGGTCCTCCTTCGCCTACCGCGAATTTCCACTCGCTACATCATGGACTGCCGTCGGCACTTTACCATTCGAGCTCCCGCCTGTCAGAGACGACTCCTTTTGCTGCCAGCCCACGAAGCAACAGATCTCTGCGGCGCAGGGGCTCTTGGACGCGCTGGGGGCGCTGGAGGACGGTCAGGTCGCCTTGCACCTCCTGCGCCAGCGCGCGTCTTTTTTGCCAGCTGGGCTGCGGCGCGCGATGCCGCCCTCCCCTCCGAGCATGCGGCGGCCTTGCAGGACATGGGCAACGAGGTGGGAGCGTGCCTCGATCAAGTGTCTGGCTGCTCGCTCCCCGACGCGCCCTGGCGGCAGGTGCAGCTCAAGGTGCGAAAAGGGGGGGCCCAGGTTTGCGCTCGGCCGAGCAGCACGCGGCCGCTGCCTGCCTGCGTGGCCGCCCGGGCGGCCTGCCGAGCATTCGGCGGGCAGCTCTGCCCAGGCTGCGACGAGGCAGGACACGACGGGGGGGGCGCACGACGCCCACGTTCCCAGAGATCCAACGCATTGGAAAAATCAAGACGGAGGTTTCTCGAAGTTTTCAGCTTCCAGGGGCCCTCGCCGGGCCCCAGGACCGTCAAAAAACGATTCAGGATGAAAAACCGGTCCTCGGGAATGGGTCGAGACTTCCGGGGACCCCCCATTGAAAAAATCACGACATCGGATCTCTGGGTTTCTGACGGAGACAGAGTGGCGCTCGACCCAGAGCATTCCCGCAAGCGGCAGCGACCCAACGACGCCGTCGACGACGCGGCACTCGCCAGCGTCTGGGCCAGCTCTTCTGTCGTTACGCACGCGCGCCCTGCTCAACGCGCTCTCCCCATGTCGCCTTCCTCCAGGCGCCGCCCTGCGAGGCCGCAGGCCCCCGCTTCCAGCGTGGCACGTTCCGTGTTGCGGTCCAGCAGCGACTATGGGTCTGGCTCGTCTGACCAGGAGGAATATTGCCCCGCTTCTGGAGAGGTAGTGGACGTGTGGCCACACCGCGCCACCACCATTGCCTGCTCTTGCCGCGGCGACCAGACGAAGCGCCACAAGGCGCTCCAGAACCAGGTGGCCCTCGACGCGCAAACGCGCTTCGCGGCGGCGGAGCTGGAACGGCCAGGGCCCTCCCCGCCGTGCGCCGCCAACGACGGGCCTCCGAGCGGCGAGCAGGACGGGCCAGACGTGGACGCTGGCGACAGGCGCCCCGCTGACGTCCACCTGCCCCGTTGGCGCAACGGGGTGCCCGCGGCCTGGGACTGCGGTTCCACGTCCGTGCTGCGCGCCGCCCTTTTGGCCGCTTCGGCTGCGTCCTCCAGCGCGGCCATGGAGCGGCACGCGGAGTTCAAACGCCAGCGCTGGGACACCGGGGGCCGGCGCGCGGCGCAGGGCCTCACCTTCACGCCCGCGGCGGTGGAGGCCCGTGGTGGCCGGTGGGGGCGCGAGGCCCGGAGAGCTTTGAGGATATCTTGGCCACGCGGGTCGTTGACGCCTCCGGGGAGGACGCCGCCCTAGCGGCGGACCCGAGCCCCGAGCGACTTTCAGCGTCCCTTCGTTTGGATGGCGCGGCGGTTGCAGCCGTCGGCGAGGCTGGTTTGCTGCGCGCTTCGTAGCGGCCGCGGCTGGCGCCGTCGAAGTCTTCCACTGGCGCCGTTTTACGACACCCCCCACCCTCCCTCCCTCTGAGGGTGCCGAGCGGGACCCTCTGCCTGAGGGCGGGGTGGGCGGGTGCCGTGCGGACGGGCAACATGACCCGAAAGGGTCCTTGCTGGCCGAACGACAGCGCGACAGTCCCCGTTCCCATGGTCATCGCCGCCCGCGCAGTCCCGTTGCCCCCGCCAGCAGCCGCACCCCTCTGCCGCTCCCGCGCCTGCCGCACCCGCCGCCGCCACTGCCAGCGTCTGCCAACATATGCCGCGCTACTCCTGGCGCGCCCGCGCCTGCCGCGCCCGCCTTCGCTACCGCCCAATCACCCCCTTGGCCAACCATACCCCGACGACCGCCCCCCCCCCTCCGCCTCCCGCTATTTGCCTGCTGGTCTGTCGGTTGGTTGCCGGTGTTGCCCCCCCTCCCTCTTTCCCCGTTCCCACTCTCTCTATCCACTTTTATCCAGTGTATCTCTCGGCCGATACATCTACAGATGTGCATACACACATATCTATATATATAGTAGCACATATGCATGTTCATCGATGTGTCGAAATATCCATCGGTAGACCGATCCATCTCGATGTCTACTTATCGACCCATCCAGCAGCGCGCGGGCAGGAGTGCGGGCGCATGGGCGCGAGAGCCCCGCGCGGGGACCTGCGCCGCTCTCTCTCTCTCTCTCTCTCTCTCTCTCCCTCTCTCTCTCTCTCCACCCCCTGCGCGGCACCGACCTCCGCCGCCCGTGCAGCGCGAGGCCGCCGCGCGCGAGGCCGCCGGGGTCAAGTCGGGCATGTCCCCCTACAGGGATGAGATTCAAAAGCCGTCGAATAACAGTATGGACATGATTGTTCCCGCATTTTTGGGGGGCTACGTTGGAATCTTTTCTGGCTCTTTTTCACACTTCCTCCAGAATCCGCCTGGAGGAGGACAGGCCCGACCTAGCGCTGGGGAAACAATCTTGCTCGCTGCCGCTGGGAAGAACCGAACCCGATTGCACGGCGCATCTCTTTGCTCTGGGCGCCGGCTTCGGCCCCGATTGGGGGGTCGTGGGGTTCCGTGCCCACGGGGCTTCGGCTGTTGGGCTCCAGAGAGCCGCGCTTCGCCGTTGAGGCTGGGGCGCTGTTCTGCCGTAGGGGACCGCGCGAGGGCGCTACCATAGGTGAATTCAGTACAGCGGAGACCCATGCCACGAAACACCCTGCTTGCCTCCAGTGTGCCCTAGGTTTCTTGGGTTTCGATGGTTCTGCTCTGGCGAGCGTGACGTTCCCGCACCAAAATCTTTGGACGTCCTGGGGTCTCGGGGTTGGGTTTCTTGTGGAAGGTTTCTTCTGGTCGGGCCTCCACTGTATGTCTGCATCGCTGATCGTCGCGCTCGTCATGGCAAATCTCCTGGTTCTCTGCCTGGCTCTCGGAGCGCAGAAGCACATGTTCGTACTTGGGCGGGGCTTCGGCTCCGACGGGACGCATCGATCGACTTTGCGTTTCGGGTTCCGAGAGGAAACGTGGGGCACGATGGCGTTTTTCGACTTCACGGCCAAAATGAAAGGATTTGTTGTAGCGCCTTGGTTCCGCGTCCTGCTTTCCAGCTGCACCTGCGGGTTACACCCCAGGCGGCTCGGGAGTCTGCTTTCTCGTTCTGGATCTTGCAACTCACCTATAATGACGTCGATCGGACAGTTTTGTTGATGGAGCCGGTCACCTATACGCCTATACGCCAAAGGTGGGAACATGGCATTGTTAGAACGTACGTGCCAAGTGGTTTGGTTTTTTCTCTCCATGTCCGAAGCTTCCATCGCCTTTCTGATGAAGAATTTCCGTGGCGGCCTTACCGCCGCTGCTGTCTGAGCTGACATGGAGGGTCGCGGATGTTCGGGCAAGCTGTCGGCTCGCTGGCCGTGAGCGCGTTTTCACCGATCCCGTCTTGTTCCCGCGCCGCGAGTGTTGCAGCCACGCTGGTGGCCGCCATGTGCGAGCCTTCCGAGGTGCCAGCTTCGCCCGTGATTCAGTCCTGCACTTCGAGGTGGGATCGCACCAGTGGGCCCTCAGTCAGCAAGCTCGGGTGCATCTGCTCCCCCAGCACGGGGAGGGTCCCTGCAGCCTGGTGTTGAAAGAATTGTGAGCGACTGTCGGTGTAAAAACAGGAGACGGAGGAGGAGGAGGAGGAGGAGGAGGAGGAGGAGGAGGAGGAGGAGCTCGAACATGTTGCTCCATGATGATCGTCATGCCCGAGCTACTGGCGACAGCGTTGCCAGGTGATGGCTGGGGCCACCGTGTCACAAGGCTGTGGCAGTTCCACATGTATCCCGCGGGATTCCGTGAAACCGTGTAGCAGTATGTCTTTGGTTCGTGAATTGACTACAGGCGGTCCAGCGGAAATCCTGCCCAAATCTTCAAAAAATCTTCGGCCGGAAACTCAAACTCCCAAAAGATGTTAAAGAATCTTGAATGGGAAACTCAAAATCCAAGACAACCTGAGAGAATCTCAAACACAAAACCTGGGGATAACTCACACACAGAAGAAACTACAGGAAATCTTGAAGCCGAAACCTGGGAAAAACTCAAGCCTTCAAAAAACTTAGAAAAAAACCTGAAGCGGAAACCCGGAAACAAACTCAAACCCGGAATGTTTTGTTAGAGTTGTTTTTTATGTTTTTTTTTTTTTTTCCAGAGTTTGTCCAGAGTTTTCCCAGAGTTTTCCCAGAGTTTTCAGTCGTTTAGAGTTTTTCGACAGTTTTTTCCAGAGTTTTTTTAGAGTTTTCAGTCATTTAGAGCTTTTCCGGAGTTTTTCCAGAGTTTTCCCAGAGTTGTTTTAGAATTGTTTAAGAGTTTTTTGTGTGTTTTTAAGTTTTTCCAAAGTTTTTCCAGAGTGTTTCCCAGGTTTCGGCTTAGAGATTTTCCGGAGTTTTTGTTTGGTTTGAGTTTTTCCCAGGTTTGAGCTTCAGGATTTTTCCTATGTTCTTGTGGGTTTGAGTTTTTCGCAGGTTCGGTGTTTGAGTTTTTTTCAGGATGTCGACCTCCCCAGGTTTTGGTTTCAAGATTTCCTGGTGTTTTTTTCTGGTTTGGGTTTTTTGGCCCGAAGTGGTCGTGGACCGCTTGTAGTCGCAATTCACGAACCAAAAGTATGTCCCAAACAACGTGTATCTTGTATCATGTCTGTTCGTTCGCCCTGCCAAAGTCGCCCTGTTGCATGGCCCTCCTGTTAGGTTGACAGAAGCGTGGGTTCACCATGATGTCCTCCGATCGCGCGTTCTCATTGGTTCACGCGGCCGTGAGCAGTGTCTCCTTCATCAACTCGTTTCATCGAAACGGCATGTTGTGTTGCGTCTCGGCGATGCCATCTTGATACTTCCCAAACCGAGTCGACCTTGGGTCCTTTAACCATACAGTTCGCCGATTACCAGAAATTCGTCCCTGAAGCTAAAACCACAGCATCACACGAGTTCGACCACAGCAGCATGGCTCCGATCGCACGGTCTTCAGGACGATTGTCAGGCGGAGGACGCGGAGGAAACAAAACATTGACGCGTATCTTCATATATGGTTTTGTTAGGGCCAGGTCAATATTTGGGGAAGTCGCTCTTCCTGTCGCCCGCGCCTCTCCTCCTCCCCCCTTTTCTACCTTGCTGAAGCCACCTGGTCTCTAGCGAAGGCTACACGCCCTTTACTCCCCCCTACTCTACACACTCTTCCGCCCATAGTTGCACAGGCGATGGACCGCCACGCGGCGCTGAATCCACAGGGCGCCACGGCAAAAAACCTTCCCGCTCCCTCCCCCAGCATCGTGTGAGTTCACCGCGGGATCTGCATGCATACAGTACACAAGCTCTATGTGTATTCTGTAGGGTACACACATAAAGGAGAGAAGGAGAGAGGGATAGAGAGAGAGAGAGAGACACACACACAAAAGAACGGCAGAGAGATACAGCAAGCGATATATATATATAGAGAGATACGAACGAGGGAGGATCAGAAGGAGGAGGCGGCGATATGATCAAGGGGGACGACGAAGAGGGAAGAAAAAAGGGGACAGAGAATATGTACGAGGAGGAGGAGGAGGCGAGAGACGAGGACGAGCATGAGGGTGAGAAATAAGAGGGGGAGAGGAGCGGGAGAAGAAGAGGATGATGGGGGGCAGAGGCAGGAGGGATAGAGGAGGAAGGAGGGACGGGGGAGGTAGGCAAGAGGAGTGAGGGGGGCAGAGGCAGGCAGGAAGGATTAGAAGGGGCACTGGAGGTGGGCGGGATGACAGCTGAGGAGGGAGGGAAAACTGGGAGGACCGGGAGCACCTGCGCCTGCTTCGGATCCCCCCCAGCAGGCGGGAGCTCGCCCGCATCTACCACACGCGGGAGGACTTCGGGCAGTGCAGCATGATCTCCATGGAGGTGGAGGCGGCAAGCCTCCCAGACCGCACCCCGCGCTCGTGCGCTCCCCCCCCCTTCCCGCCCGCGCGCTCCCCCCCCGCCCCCCGCTGCACCCCCCTCCCTCGCCGCACTGGGCGTGCACCCGCCAGCGTGCGCCGCCCCGGGCACGCGCACCCGACGCCACGAAGAGCACTTCCCCGGGGATGCTTCTGTCTTTTTTGTTCCTGCGCCTGTGGGCTCCGTGGGGCCCCCCGCGGGCCCTGGGGCTGTCCGGCGCCTGCTCGGGCCGAGGGGCCGGTCCCGAGGGGCGGGCCCCTGCAGCCCGGGACCCGCCCGCCGCCCGCCTCGGTGCCCGCCCGCCTCGGTGCCCGCCCGCCTCGGTGCCCGCCCGCCTCGGTGCAAGTGAGGTGCTGGCGCCGGGTGTTCGCGCTGCGCCCGCACGCCACCCCAGGCCCACCCACTTCTCGGCGGCGAGCGGGGGGGAGGGGGAAGCGAGAAGCGGAGAAGGCCTTCTCAGAAGGCGGCGGGGCTTTCTCTGAAGCCCTCGCGCCTTCTCTCACCCCCCCCGCCTCCTCCTCCTCCTCCTCCTCCTCCTCCTCTTCCTCTCCTCCTCTCCTCCCTCCTCCTCCTCCTCCTCCTCCTCCTCCTCCTCCTCCTCCTCCTCCTCCTCCTCCTCCTCCTCCTCCTCCTCCTCCTCCTCCTCCTCCTCCCTCTGAGAATAGGCCCGCCCTCGCTCGCTCCCCCCCATGGGCCCTCCGCCGAACTTCAGCCTCGCTGCGCCGACCCCATGTACGCGTGCCCATCCCCAGCCACACCCCCACCGTCTCAGCAGCCCGGTTCGGAATACGCCCCTCGATCCCCGGAGGACACGGTCCATCATACCCCCAGAGAGTATGAGAGGGGCAGGTCGGCCACATGGTGGGGCCCGGGCCGCGCCCGTGGGGACACGGCGCCGGTTTAACGATGCTCGGCACTCCACCCGCGAGCGTGCCCGCTTCGGGCGCGTGAACGTGCCCGTGCCCAACAGCGCACCGCTGGAGGTCGAGCAGAGGCGAAGCGTCCTAGCTCGCCTCTAGGCCTACCAGAGGATGTTCCAAGAACCTTTTGTGGTTTGCACGAAGTGTTCTTAGAACACTTCTGGCTGAGACCATTTTGTTTTGACACATCTGTCTTATGTTCTAAGAACACTGTTTTTTGTTTTTCGAACATTTTGGGGTTCGAAGAACATGTCGTGCTAGGCCTGTAGCAATGCTGGGACGGTCGGTCCCTGCTCAATGGAGGCGGAAGCGGCGGATCACCCGCAGACCCCGCCCCTGCGAGTTTTTCCCCCGCCCAGGCGTCTGGCGTCGTGATTTGGGGTTTGCGGCGTGGATCCCCAGACGTCTGGGCCCCGGCTCCGGGTCCCATCAACGGCCCCCAGGGGGAGAAAACCGTGATTTGGGTTTTACAGCGTGGATCCCCAGAGGTTTGGACTCCGGCTCTGGGCCCCATCGAACGGCCCCCCGGGAGCAGAACATTGCCCCAGGTCTCCCGTCGTGATTTCTTGCGGCGCGAGGATGTGGGGTTGCCCCCGGGTGCGTGTGATGTTCTGGCCCCACGGAGTTGCCGGCGCTGCAGCCGGACAACTCGCCGAGCCTCTGGTGCGACAGCTCCGGGGGCGCAGAGGGGAAGCAGAGGCTGCTCCTGGAGTCGAGGACAGCGGGGGCAGAGGGCTCCGTCTCCTCTTGTCCTCCCCCTCCTCTTCATCCTCCTCCGATCCTCTACGCTGTGCTCCTCCTCCTCCTCCTGCTCCTCATCCTCCTCCTCCTTGCGATGTTCCTGGCTGCTGGGCCTATCGCGATGCGCTAGTGGAAGCGGGGTCCAGGCGCGAAACGGATAAATTCGTTGGCTCGGCCACGGTACCCCTATTATCTTTAGCATCTTCTTGGCGTCTGACGCTTTGGGCACTTCATTGATGCGCTTGTGCAGCGCGAGCGAGGTGTCATGGGATGGGTGCGTGGAGCAGGGTTCGCCGAGGTGGGCTGAAACTGTAGCCCGCACATGCTCGGGGGAGCCGAGGGGACGCGGCCAGGGCTCGAGCAGCGGCCACCAGCGGCGGCTGCTCTGCACCTGCCCACGAGACCTCACCACCTTGGACCGCCCGCAGGACACTCCTCCCGCCACAGGCACCACCCCTGCAGATCCGGCCATGCCGCGCCAGGGCCATGTCACCGCAGAGGCTACATCTCCAAGGGCAGCGGCCTGCGCCAGGAGGCGGCTGCCCGGGCCGCTGCGCTCGGCGGGCCGGCTGCACGCCCGGCGGCGGCGGCGCCAGGGACGACGGCGAGCTGGACGGCCAAGAAAAGCGCGCAGAGGTCACGAAGATCGTGCTGACGAGCCGGTGTTTCCTCCCTGGCACTGCGGGCACAGCCCGCTGTCGGTGCGTCCCGCCGTGGCCTTCCCGCCACGGAGCGTCTCCGCTGGCGCCGGCCGACAAGAAGGGTGAGGTCGAGCTGGGGCACGACCTGTGCTGGCGGGCGAGGAGGTCAGGCCGAGGGCCGAGGACGGCGCTGCCGCGAGGAGCGACGCCAGAGGCGGCCCACGCGCCGAGTATTGCGTGCCGATCTCGCGAACAGGAGCGGTCGGTCGGAATCGAGCCGAGCATGAGGTTGCGGCAGCTCCTGGTCCAGCGGCTCCATCTGACCCAGCAGCTCATCCAGCACCCTCTTCATCAGCAGACTCTCCGTCCAGCTGTTTCCGACCTGGTTTTTCTCGGCCTCGGGGCAATCTGCCCAGTGCTCTTCCGATGAAGGGCGCTGGCAGCGGCCATCTTTCGCCCCAAGCCACGTTCTTTTACTTGTGAGCCGTCAGCGAACCTCTACATGGACATGTCAATGTACAGCCGTCAAGGCATTATCATTATTTCCCAGTTTCTCATACTTCGGCCTCCACGATCCCACCTCCACCAACCAAACGTTCTGACTTCCAGCCTCCAGGAACTGACATCTGTTCACGTCCGCCTATCGACCTCTGGCCTCCGCCAGCCCAGCATTCCGACCTCCAACTTCAAGCAAAGCACACCCCACCTCCACCTCCGCCCATCGATTCCCAACCTCCACCAGCGCAGCACTCCAACCTCTCGCCATCAGCATCCGACCTCCCATTTCCACTTCTACAAATTGACTTCCAGCCTCCACCAGCTCAACACTCTGGCCTCCAGCCTCCAGCACCCGACATCTCAGGTCCCCCTTTACATATTGACTTCCAGCCTCCACCAGCTCAGCACTCCGACCTCCAACCTCCAGCAAGCGACATCCCATTTGACCTCCACCGACCGACTTCCAACCTCCACCAGCTCAGCAGTCCGACCTCCAGCCACCTGCATTTGACCTCCCATCGGCACCTCTACCTGTCGACCCTCAGCCTCGACCAGCTCAACATTCCGACCTCTAGCCACAAGCATTCGACCTTCCACTTCACCCTCACCCGTCGACGTCCACCTCCACCAGCTCAGCACTCCGTCCGACCTCCAACCACCAATATCCGACCTCGCAGTTCCACCACCGACCCACCCCCTGCCTCCACTAGCTTAGCACTCCGACCTCCATCCTCCAGCATCCGACCTCGCAATGCAACCTCCGCCAACCCAGCACACCGACCTCATAACCAACAACGCCGACTGCCACGGACTGAGAATGCCAACAACAACACTGGCCAGCAACATTAGCAGACTGACCAACGGAGCAAAGGAGGAGGATGAGGGGTCTACAAGAATGTCGACGGCGACGTCGCAACGAGCCTACAGCGCAGCATCCCGCGAGGAGAGGACGCGGGCCACAAACACCACACTGGACAATATTAACCACCAGCGGTGGCCAGAACACCGACCGCGGCCGCGACCCACTGACACCAGGAGGGGAGAAAACACAGACACAATCAATCGTCCACTCCCAGGAAAATATGGGAAAATCTGGGAAGTGGGGGGGAAGAGAAAAACCCAGAAAATATGGGGAAATATTGGGAATCATGTTATTCGTGTGCATTCCCTACCTAGGCTCTGCCTAGAGGGTTCTTACTTTGTTTGCTTAAATGGGCCGGGCAGTGTAAAACGCCCGGGGCGGTTCCCCCAGTCCCCGCCCCGCGGTTCCCCCAGTTGCGCCCCCTGGGTTCCCCTAGCTTGGCTTAGCTTAGCTTACCTTAGCTTAGTTTAGCCCAGCTAAGCTTAGCTTAGCTTAGCATAGCTGAGCGTAGCCTAGCCTAGCCTAGCTCAGCTTAGCTGAGCTTAGCTTAGCTTATCATATATTAGCTTAGCTTAGCTTAACTTATCATAGCTGAGCATAGCTGAGCTCAGCTTCGCTTAGCTTAGCTTATATCATATTTGCTTAGCTTAGCTTAGCGTGCCTCATCGTAGCTTAGTTTAGCTTAGCTTAGGTTAGCTTAGCCTAGCTGAGCTGAGCTTCGCTTTGCTCAGCTTTGCTTAGCTTAGCTTAGCATAGCTTAGCTTACCTTAGCTTAGCTTCGCGCAGCGCAGCATAGCGCAGCGCAGCATTAGCACATACTAGCATATCATAGCATAGCCAAGCATAGCATTGCATAGCATATCATAGCTCAGCATATCATAGCATAGCATGGCATAGCATAGCTTAGCGCAGCATAGCATAACATAGCATATCATAGCATAGCATAGCATTGCTTAGCACAGCACAGCGCAGCATAGCATAGCATCACACATCTTAGCACATCATAATATCGCATAACACAGCGCAGCATATCATATCATAGCATAACATAGCATAGCATCGCCTAGCATAGCGCAGCCTAGCACAGTATACCATAGCCTAGCATATCATACCATATCGCAGCATAGCTTTGCACTGCATAGCATTGCATAGCATAGCATATCATAGCATAGCGCAGCATATCATATCATAGCATCGCCTAGCATAACACAGCGCAGCCGAGCGTACACTAGCATAGCATAGCATAGCATAGCGCAGCATAGCGCAGCATAGCAACGCATAGCATATCATAGCATAGTACCGCAGCTAAGCATAGCATCACAATGCGAACGTGTAGATGTAGGTGTAGATGTATGTGTAGGTGTAGATGTGGATGTAGGTGTAGATGTAGATGCAGATGTAGATGTATATGTAAATGTATATGTATATGTAGGTGTAGATGTAGGTGTAGATGTAGCTGTAGATGTGAGTCTCGCTGTTGATGTTGATGTAGATGTATATGCAGGTGTAGATGTACATGTAGATGTCGGTGTAGATGTGGATGTTGTTTTCCTAAATGATCCAACTCGTAGGTAGGGTCGCACTGGGATACTTTATGTGTGTGTCCCAGGGCCCCTTCATGACCGTCATCAACAAAAAATGCGAGAGGCCGCACCACGGGCGACTCCATAGGCACATTCAGTCGCGAGCTGGGACGTGCGACGTGGGTCTCATCAACGAGACCTGGAGGACCGAACCTCGCGAATTGTGGACAGCCGCATTGGGATCGCATGTAATCGCGTCAGCTGGTCACGATACAGTCAAGACGCTGAAGTAAGGACTAGTTTGGGTTCGGAGGGGGCTCGATGTTCCTTAGGTTCCCTAGGTTCCTCCAGTGCTGTTCCTCTTGCCCTCCTGGGGCGCGGAGGCGCGTACAGGGCCAAGAAGGGGCTTCGTTCATTATTTAGCGTTCCTTCTGTCAGCGGCCCGACTGTATTCGCGTCAGCTGCTCACGATACCGCCTCACGAGGCGTTGCGTTCTTGGCCCACCGACGACACCTTCGTAACATCAGGAGCTTCACGAGCATCAGCGAGCACATCGCCTACAGCTGGACATCTCCACCTCCAAGCTGCGAGTTGCAACACCATGCTTCTCACACTCCAGCTGCCCCGACACCCACGTCCAGCAGATGCACGCCATACTGACCGCGCTCCACGACGACGCCGCCAAACAGAAACGCACCACACTCATCACCAGGCTGTCAACCTCCCTCAACACAGACGACAAACATAATGCCAACACAGGCCGAGAGCTCACAGGAGGTCCGCATGGAATGGGAGCGTGCAACACGCGCAGGACGTGGTTACGAGCGTGGGCAAGTTCACAGAATATGCTCCTTTCTAACACGATGTTCTGCAGACACTATCGCAATATCTTCACTTAGTCCACCCACGGGGAAACCCATGCCCAATCACAGATCGACTACATGCTCATCGACAAGTACTGTCGCAACCAGGTGCCCGACTCGTTTGCAATTGCTATCCCAGACCTCGGATCTGCCCATCAAGCAGTATGGATGACAGTTGTCTTCGACTCCGCGCCGGGAAAAAACGGAAGAACCGCACAACACGATCCGACCGCCGCTTTGCGCACCCACCAGTTGCCGACCCAATATACCAGCAATGTTTGCAGCACAGACTTCACGCCTGCGACGTCGCAGCCAGCACTGACGACAGGAATAATCACATCACAATTGTCCAATCGAACGGGGGCTTACCATGAGTGCCACGACGCGTCACTACGACGCCGAGCACGTGTAGACCACATCACATCAAACCATACATTGGGTGAGCTCATCGACTGACGGCGCAGCACGCCATACACCGATGCAGCCACCTGGAAGGCATTGAGCAGTTTGATGTTGAAACATATTCGAACTATTAAGCGCGCCTGGTGACATACCGAGATAGAGGCATCGCGTGCGAATTCAAAGGTC